AAAAACAGAAAAAATTAGCCAGGTGTCGGGGAGGGCGCCTGTAGACACACCTACTCGGGAGGCTGAGGCAGGAGAATCACTTGAACCCAGGAGGCAGCGGTGGCAGTGAGTTGAGATTGTGCCACTGCACTCCAGCCTGGGAGACAGAGCGAGACTCCGTCTCAAAAAACCAAATAAAAGGTGGGGCACATCAGAATTGACTGGCCTAGAAACAGCCATGTCAAATTTGAAAGCAAAAAGGCAGTAACGTGAAAACTGGATATACAGTATGAGCCCTCTTTATCCCAACAGGGTTCAGTAGCTCTGAGATTATGTGCAAAAGAGATTCCAAAAGCACATCCCTGGCGAGTTACCAGCTGTGACTGGGTGGGGGAATTCCGCAACATGTTTATGTCCTACTTTGTATTTTTCTGGGCTTCTATCACATTTGAGAATTGTTTTTATATTAAAAATAAAGCTCTTTTCTCTGAGATAAAAACACCAGGGGTCTCTTTCTCTCCTGCTGGGAGGCGGCCCCTCCTGAGCCCCCTCTGGCTCACATCCCACCCCTAGCCCGAGGCAGGCGGGGAGCCGCTGCTGAAGAATGAGGGACATTCCCCATATGCGGTAACATTTCCAGCTGCCTCCTGGCTTGGCTGGGCCTGAGGAGGAAGGAGGACTAGTGTCGCACCCTTGGCTGTGCTGTTGGAAATTCGAATGATTAAAATCATTACCCAGGTGTTAGAGGGTGTTTTAAAAGGATACGTTTAAAGGGACAAACGTTAACCACTTGTATTTTACAATTTTCATGTTGCATTATTGCCAAAGAAAGTTAAATAGAAGTCCTGTCGGCCGGGCGCGGTGGCTCACGCCTGTAATCCCAGCACTTTGGGAGGCCGAGGCGGGTGGATCACGAGGTCAAGAGATCGAGACCATCCTGGTCAACATGGTGAAACCCCATCTCTACTAAAAATACAAAAATGAGCTGGGCGTGGTTGTGCGCACCTGTAATCCCAGCTACTCGGGAGGCTGAGGCAGGAGAATTGCCTGAACCCAGGAGGCGGAGGTTGTGGTGAGCCGAGATCGCGCCATTGCACTCCAGTCTGGGCAACAAGAGCGAAACTCCGTCTCAAAAAAAAAAAAAAAAAAAAAAAGTCCTGGCATGCACACCACAGTCCCAAGAGGGCTGCAGCGAGTCCCCGCAGGCCCCTGGTCCCACACTGCTGCTGGGCCAGGAGCTGCAGGCATGCCGGCTGAGCGCACCTCTCCTGGTGAGAGCAATGAACTCCAGCACCATTAGGCAGCCCAGAGGGGACACACCCTTTGAGGAACAAAGACACAGAACCAGCAGGAACCCTCCAGGCAGTTCCTGACAGGGGGAGCCACCCGCCCCACTGGAGACACCCATCTTACAACAGTCAGCAGCATTTATGCTGGGGACAGGACCGACCACACAGCTCACAAGGAACCAAGGTCAATGGGAACTGACAAATGCATCCCTTCAGGCTGCTAGCAGTGCTGGGGTTCCTTTTGGGGTGCCTTCTCTGGCCACTGGGGGATGGTCACCCAAGAGAGGCCTTGAGGATGAGATGGCAGGGGCACCTCCTGAGTGTGAGGTGGGCCGAAGTGGATTCATAGCCTCACCTGCGCACTCACTCAGCACAGATGCTGGTCTCCTCCACCCGCCTCGCACTGCCTGGACCCACATGCCAGCTTCCCAGCTGGCTCCCGCTGCCCAGAGTCCTCCTACTGATGACACATGCACATCCTAACACATCAGAACGTTTTGGTGGCCTTTCCTCTTCTGTGGGGTGAAGACCAAATGTCCCACAAGCTGCCAGCTCCCTGAGCAAAGAGCCTTGTGCTATCTGGCTCTGTGGTTCCTTCGCTAGCACGAAGCCCACACCTCTGGGTGCTCAGCACACCCTGGAGGACTGACCGCACTGACTGGACACAGCGGTCGAGGGCTTGACATGCAGCCCCTCCCTCGTCCTCGGCCCCATCTCCCACCCTCCCGTAGGCAGACACTGCCTGTGACCCAGCATTCTCTTCCCCATCTTTCGGAACGTGAAAACAACATGCTGTTCAAAATCTAAGCTGTTGGAAATTTAACATATTTTGAGCCTTAAGAAAATATGATTAAGGGACCTGAGTCATGTGACAGGCAGCTGTCCCCATTGTTTCCCTGTTTATAGATTAGCCTTTATCTACATTGTTTTGTAAAATGTCGCAAATGCTAAAGAGCACCAGGGAAGACCGCTTTCCTCCTAACCTTCATCTCCGTTCTCCATTCACTCCCCTCTCTCCTCTCTCCCTCAAAGACTTCGTGAGTAGCACAGGATATAAGATGGAGCATTATGTACGCCACCCAGCTCAGGTGATGTCAGCAGCCCCGTTAGCTCCAGGCGTGGGCCTATGGCTGAGCCTGGCCAACTGGGGCACTGCATTCCTTGGGTCAAACTGGCTGATTAAAGGGTGGTCATATTACCCACTAGGGGGCAGAGATGGGGCTTTTTTGGGACTGCTGAGAGAGGGAAAGATGTGGGTCTCTTCCCTGCGGATACAGAGCCTGAGCAAGGTGAGGTGAAAGTCCATCAATAGAGCCGGCACAGAAAAAGCACAGTCGAAAGACAGAAGGAAAGAAACTGGGTGCTGAAGACTCATTTAGCCCTTGATCAAGCCACACCTGAAGGAGACATTCAGTCATGAGCGCCAGCTGTAAGCCAAAAACTAATTCTAAGCCCCTCAACTGGCTGACAATTGAGGAGAAATGAACCCTTCCTCTCTGCCAAGGGGATTTCAAAGCAACCAAAAAACCTAGTTCAGGCTATGAAAGGAATAGGCAGTGAGTCAGATATGCCCCATTCTACCATTCTGCCTTTGGAAATCAGGCACAACTGAGGACATTAACATTAAAACAGAGATCTTAAGCCTGTAGCAACCAGATTCCAAATTCCAGCCCGACTATAGTATAGCATCCCATGACAGAGAGCAGGCCCTGAAAAGAATCGAAATATCTTACCCCACAATATATTTCTCCGGCGTATGTTAAAATGGCTCTGCAGGCTGGGTGTGATGACTCATGCCCGTAATCCCAGCACTTTGGGAGGCAGATCACTTGAGCTCAGGAGTCTGAGACCGGCCTGGCCAACATGGTGAAAACCCGTCTCTACTAAAAATACCAAAATTAGTCGGGCGTGGCGGTAGGCGCCTGTAAGCCCAGCTACTCGGGAGGCTGAGGCAGAAGAATCGCTTGGGCCTGGGAGGCGGAGGGTGCAGGGAGCAGGGAAATCATGTCACTGCACTCCAGCCTGGGTGACAGAGTGAGACTGTCTCAAGGTAAAATACAAAATGGCTCTGCAAAGCTGTTTCTTGTGGGGAAGTTTACATTCTGCAGAGAATCCCCTTCCCTTTCTGGCCTTTTTCTGATCGCGAGGAGGTTAGCTGAGTCCAGCACCCTGTGAACCCGGTCTCCACCACCCCTTACCTTAACCCGATGCTCCTTTCTGTTGATTCCAAGTCTTGTGATAATAACTCTCAACCAAGTGCCAATCAGAAAATCTCTGAATCCGCCCATGACCTGTAAGCCCCAACCTCAAGTTGTCCCAGCTTTCCAGACTGAACCAATGTGTACTCACACGTATGGATGTCTCTGTCTCCCTGACACACGAACCGATCAATATCCTCATCTTAGAGGTGCAGAAATCACAGCCAGAGCACCTGGCCGCTGGGTGGGGCAGTCGGTGGCCACCCCGTGCTCCTGGTAAGGACTTCCTACCCGGAGACAGCCTGGAGCACCCTCTCCACCAGCCTTTGCTCCTGGGCTTCCCTGGGCCTGGAAGGCCTTTCCAGACTTCCCCTTCTGAGGAGCAGCCTGGTGCCTACTCCCCGCCTCTGGCCCCAGCACTGGGGCACCGCTGAGTGCCCCTCGCTGCATCCATGCCCCTCCAGCTCCCTCCCCAGGAGCAGACTGAGCCACTGCCTGGTGGGCAGTTTGGACACTGGTTGGCAGCTGGCCCTGTGCACATGGGGTCATACCCACTCTCCAGCCTTGCGGCTCAGATGGGCCGGGTATCCCCTTTCCTTCAGGAGCCTCAAGACCCTTCACGCTAGCAAGAGAGTCTACTAAAAGTCACCAGCACATCCGTGACAGGGCTCAGGAGACGAAACCCCCTGGCTGGACGCTGGCACACCCTGGGGCAGTTTTAGAGGATTGCACGTGCCACTCTGGGCACATAGCACCCACTCAACAAAGTCAGTTCCCTCAGCCAACAGGTCTCATTCAAACCCCGACTCTGTGCCGACACCTGGCCAGGGCTTTGAAACCTACTTGCTTTCTACATATGGTTGGGTTGTTTTAGATGGATGTAAACGTGGTCACGTGGGAAGAAGGGGCTGTCTGCTCAACCTTAGTGTGAGAGAACAGGCACCGCCTGCAGAGCTCATTCCCATTCTTTGTCTTCTTCTTCTTCTTTTTTTTTTTTTTTGAGATGGAGTCTCTCTCTGTTGCCCAGGCTGGAGTGCAGTGGCGCCATCTCAGCTCACTGCAAACTCCATCTGCTGTGTTCAAGCTATTCTCCCCACTCAGCATCCCGAGTAGATGGGATTACAGGCATCTGCCACGACGCCTGGCTAAGGTGTTTATTTTCAGTAGAGATGGGGTTTCACCATGTTGGCCAGGCTGGTCTCGAACATCTGACTTCCAGTGATCTGCCCACCTCAGCCTCCCAAAGTGCTGGGATAAAGGCGTGAGCCACTGCACTCAGCCCCGAGCTCATTATTCTTACAAAGCCTTCCCTGCCCCATCCACAAACCAGGGTTTGCAAAGCCATCGAGGACGGGGAACGTCACCACATTGTTTGGTCTTTGAGGCAATATAGGTCCCCGACTCTGCATCATGGCCAGGCTCTGCACCGTCCCCCATGGTGACCCCTCAGGCAATGGCCTTGACACCACGGAGGAGGCATCTGCAGAGACTGTCTCGTGAGAAATGAACCCCTGCCCCGCAGTCCCCCGCTTACCTCCAGTCTCGTCCGGTCCACGTCTTTGGGCAGTTTCACCCGAATTCGGTTTGTGACGATGAGGGTGTCATAGGGATAGATCTGTTGGGGGAGGAAACACAGGGTCACCTCGCGAAGCCAGCGTGTGCTGGCACCAAAGAACTGAGCAGAAGGCCACCGAGAATACATACTTGCGTCTGCCCCTGACACACACATTTCATAGGGAAAGCACAAGAGAAAGGACTTTTAACCTGGCAGGTGTGGCGCAGCACGGAGGTCAGTGTGGGAGCGGCCCCGCTTACCTTGTATTCTGTAAGAGAGAGAGAGCGGAGACCACGAGATGGTTTAGAAAGTGCAAGATGTCATCCAAGGCGGGTGAATCCCCGCCCGGGCGCACCCACATCTCCTCCCCTGCAGTCAGCTGGGCCATGCACGGTCCCCGAGCAGCCTGACTGGGGCCCTGATCTCAGAGCTGCGGCAGAGGGGCTCTGAGGGCCTCCCCTGGGAAACCAGAGCAGAGGCATGGTCAGGCTGGAGACCAGACTGGAAGCCGGATGGTAGCACTGTGCTTTTCAGCTGACTCTCTGGTGGTCACCCTGAGAAAGACGCCAGCCTCAGTTTACCTGCCTGTGCAGTGGGCATTTCAGGGGAAACTTTTAGGGGGTGTTGTGGAGACTGACATCTCTCTGTGGTCTGAGCCTCCCCCGTCTCTCACTGTCTTACCTTATTAACTGTATTTTCTCCTTTTCAAACTACTGAGCTTTGTGCCCTAATGTCTCACTTCCAGACTGAAAGTGTCTTATCACAAAAATGAAGTAGTGTGGATCGTAGGCCTCCATGCACACTGAACCCACAGAGAGCAGTTTCTACAGACCCTGGTCCTCAAGCCAGTCTCAGAAGGGAGACCCCAAGTCAAGGGCGGGTCCCTGAGTTTCCCCACATGCCACGTGGGGTTCTGGACCTGCCAGCTCTGAGACCCAGGGACCGAAGGCCACTTAGAGGGAGCAGGCTGTGGGTGCTGACGCTCTCCACCCACATGCAACGCAGTCCAGCAGAGCAAGGCTCCTCCGCCACTCTCGGGGACAGAGGCTGACAAGGAGGTAAGCAGTGCCCCTGCCAGGCACCTGCCACAGGACCAGGTGGCCACTCTGGTAACACAAACCTAGCAGCCCTGCTGAACCTGGAGTCACGCTGCATGCCAGCAGCCACATGGCGAGCAAGGCGCAGGCAGGGTTGGCCCAGAGCGGTCCACTCAGACCCTGGAAGCCTTGTGCCTGAGATTCTGCTTCCCCGAGTGACACAGAGTGCCACACAATAGAGGACAGAGCCACCGTGACCACAGATGGGAGAGAGGGAGCATCGTGGGTAAAGCTAGTTTAGAGTGGCACTGACTCTCCTCGGGGAGAGGAAGGGAAACAAACTCGCCCTCCCCCGAGGTTTCCGCCCGACACTCCCGGAGTCTTGGACGGGTGGTTTCAGAACGACACTTGTGGAATAAGTCAGCAACCCCTGCCCCAGCCAGAGACCCACAGGGTCCCCACTCTGTGTACCTCGCATGCCCCAGCTGGCATCCGGGTCTGCTCCACAGGGGGCCAGATTGGCATTCTGGAAGAGAAAGAGAGGTTGGGCGGCAAGAGGCAGGCGGCACGACAGTGTGAGGGTGGGCGGGGCCAGGAGATGCTGCCTCTTGGAGGCTGCGGACGTTGCACTGCCTGGGAAGTAGGGTGTCCTCAGCACAGCAGTGGGGCGTAGGTGACATGACGGCGACGGTGGCTTGGGAAGGGGAGCGGGCGGGACTGGTCAGCTTTCCTGCTTGCAGGACGCCCAACGCCTGGGCGGTCTCCGTGGACCCTTCCTGTGTGGACGGCTCCGACCCTGTTTGAAAGCTGCTCCAGGTGCTGGATTCCCCTCTCTGCAGCTGGCACGGACCACAGCGGGGGCTCAGCACCATTTCTTTGCGCTGCATGACATATGGCACCCTGCAGTTCCCTATTGATGTGTCCCCTCCACACGGTGGGCTCCTGAGCACAGCTCCTAGCACCTGCTATCCCAGGTGCTCAGGGAACCCCAGGGTTCATCCGGGGCCCCCTCTTCCCAGCCAAGGGGGAAGACTGGCGACCGTCTCTGGCACTGTTCACAATCTCATGGAACTACTAGGGTATTCTCAGAGCCACACGGACGCACGTCGAAGTCCATCCACCCCAAATGCTCCTGAACAAGAGGAGTCCCTACCTCCCCGGAAACTGTGGTACTCACAGCAGCTCTATGTGTGACTGTTTCAAAGACGAAAAGAGCCCTGTGTCTGTAAGGCCCCTGGCGTGTCACCTGGCATGTTGTTAAGCACCCATACAGGGTGGCCATGCCTCTAACAGTGACTCCCTAAGGGCGACTTTCTGAGGGTGGGTGGGCCTGAGAGCTCCGGCCCTGCTTCAGGGACCCGTGGCATTCATCTACAAACTGCCGTTTTAGCGCACTGCGACAATCAGTGCCTGGAACTCCTTCTGTCCACCTGGAAGCATCATCGACATGTCCTGCAAACCTCTATAGGGGGTTCCCTACCCTGTAGAGCAGGCATTGAGCCCTGCAGGCGTCGGTCAGTCCTGCCCCTGCCCACCTGCTGCCCCTCGCTGGCACCTGGGGTTTGCATTATGACCCTGAGCCATGCTCTGTTGTGGCTGTGCCTCGGCTGTCCGCGGTGGACAGAGCCTGCTGAAGAAAATGTCTTATTCATGCTCCTTTCCCCAGCAACTGGCATGGGGTCTGAAACAGGGTCAGGGCTCCTGGCCAGTGCTGCTGAAACTGGGTACAGGGATGACATTTCAACGGGGAGACTTCAGCAGACGAAGGAGAGACGGTCTGCTCAGCCCAGTGGATCTGTTACAGGGGAAAGTGTTTTCAGCGGAGCCTGGCAGCAGGCCGTCAGTGAGGAGCGGGTTACAGCCTACAGAGCACAAGAGCAGGAAGACCCCGGAGAGCACTGAGTCCAACGCGCTTCATCTGAAACAGGAAAACCGAGGCTCCGAGGGAAGTGGGACCTTCTTCCTGTCGCAGAGCTGGAGGCAGAGGGCTGGGGTCAAGCCACGAGGTGGGTAAGCACCCAGGCAGAGGACCAGAACCTGTCTCTATTTACATTTTTGCTATTTTGTTTAATGCGAATTTTTTGCATTAATTGGGATTTCTAAAAACATTGCGTTAAATCCGACTTATCCTGACGGCATTTTCTTTTTAGCACCTCGCTCCCTCACCCTCGTCCTGGGCCTGGTCCCACTTCACAAAATAATTCTTCCCTTCAAGAGTATTCACAAATAATTTCTTTTTTCTTTGAGACAGAGTCTCACTCTGTCATCCAGGCTGGAGTTTAATGGTGGGATCTTGACTCACTGTAACCTCCACCTCCCAGGTTCAAGTGATTCTCCTGCCTCATCCTCCTAAGTAGCTGGGATTACAGGTGCCCACCACCACGCCTGGCTAATTTTTGTATTTTTAGTAGAGATGGGGTTTCACCTTGTTGGCCAAGCTGGGCTCGAACTCATGACCTCAGGTGATCCGCCCGCCTTGGCCCCCCAAAGTCCTGGGATTACACTGTGCCCAGTCACACAAATAATACATTTTTAATTAGAAGAGACAGAGTCTGGCTCTGTTGCCCAGACTGGAGTGCAGTGGCACGATCTCAGCTCACTGCTACCTCCGCTTCCTGGGCAATTCTCCCACCTCAGCCTTCTGAGTAGGTGGGACTACAGGCACACGCCACCACACTTGGCTAATTTTTATATTTTTTGATAGAGATGGAGTCTCCCTTTGTTGCCCTGGGTGGTCTCAAACCCCTGGTTTCAAGCTCTCTGCCCACCTAAGCCTCCCAAAGCACTGGGATTACAGATGGGAGCCACCATGTCCACTCAAGAACAATTTTTTGATACATTTTCTTTGTCCCAGACTAGCACCCCAGGTGCACCTGTTCTGGTCGGAACCTCTAGTGTAATGCAAGGCAACCGGCCACGGCCTTGCCCTTGCCCGCCTGGACTGATGTGAAAGAGAAACGCCGCCCCCTAGTGCCCGCTGCCCTACATTACGGGCTTGCAAAACTCCAGGGCACCACCCGCCTTGTTTGGAAACTTACTCCCTAGCAGCAAAACCAGCTTCCCTGGTCTTCCAGGCTCTGAGACAAGGTGGAGACTCTAGGACAGAGACGAGGCATCTTCCAGATGGAGGAGTGGGAACATTGGATAGGTCTAGAGCAGGGAAAGCGGGGTCTACGTCTGGTCTTCCAAGTGCAAAGGGGATGGGATGCCCAAGGCCTCACAGGTGCCAGGGGTCTTGAGTTACCGTCTTAATGTGTGGACCAGCAGGAGAAGTAAGTGGCCGGAGGGTACCACAAAGGCAGCGCCATCAGGCATATTCCTGGCTGACTCCCCTACGCTGCTCAGTGGAGGTACCAGCGATTTTTAAAGCAACAAATGATTTAGCTGTCCCATTTGTTTACTACTTATTTTAATTTTATTTTTGAGCCAGAGTCTTGCTCTCGCCCAGGCTGAAGTGCAGTGGTGTGATCTCGGCTCACTGCAACCTCCATCTCCTGGGTTCAAGTGATTCTCCTGCCTCAGCCTCCTGAGTAGCTGGGATTACAGGCATCTGCCACCATACCCAGTTAATTTTTGTATTTTTAGTAGAGATGGGGTTTCACCATGTTGGCCAGGCTGGTCTCGAACTCCTGACCTCAAGTGATCTGCTCACCTCAGCCTCCCAAAGTGCTGGGATTACAGGCATGAGCCACAGCGCCCAGGCTGTTTAGCACTTCTTATGTGCCTGTGGCTCTATGGATACATTCTCCAACCTTTGCTGCAACTCCAGGAGGGGGGCATTATCATCGTTTTACACATGAGCCCTAGAGAGATTAAGCAACTTGCCTGAGATCATACAACACATACATGGGACTATAAATATTTGAGCCCATGTGTTTTATTTTCCAAAAATTATACTGAAATTGCTAATAGGAATTGAGATTATGGGCGTCTGCCACTGGCCAGCCTTCTTTTCCTGCTAAAGCTCACAGTGGAATGTGTTACTTTACTCAGCAGCTAGTGACATGGGAGCAAGATAGAGGAGAAACTGCTTCTTAAATACTTAAAAAGCAATTATTTAAATTGGGAACCATGCTATGGAGCTTATAAAAAATTTCACAGCCATAATGGTACATGTCCCCAAAATAACCTCAAGAGGTAAGGATAATTTTTTAAAGATTCGAAAACGTAAGTAACTTGCCCGAAGACAAAGCTGGGGTTTGAACTCAGGGCTGTCTGACACTGACACGCGTGTTCTTTCCGGCATCACAGTTTGGAAATACCAAACTGCTTTAATTTGTTACTGCTTGTCTTGTAGTCACTGCACAAACATCTTAATAAATATTTTCTGAACATGTGAAAATGATTCAAGAGATAGATTTTTCATATCCCTATTAGATTGTTTGCTATTTGTACTATTTAACTTTTCTCTGTACTTTTAAATTAATTTTTGTTCACGAGACACATTTGTCTTTCTATTATTTCTTTTTTGAGACAGAGTCTTGCTCTGTTGTCCCAGGCTGGAGTGCAGCGTAACAACCTCAGCTCATTGCAACCTCTGCCTCCTGGGTCCAAGCAATTCTTGATTCTTGTGCACAAGTAGCTGACATATTAGGCATGTGCTACCATGCCTGGCTAATTTTTGTATTTTTAGCAGAGATGGGGTTTCACCATGTTGGCCAGGCTAGTCTCGAACTCCTGAAGTGCTGGGGTTACAGGCATGAGCCACCTTGCCTGGCACCATTTGTTTTATTCCAAAAGAGTCATATTCAAAGCACCCACCACACTCGTATTCAATCAAGCTGTCTAGCACTGCCATGTTGCTGGGTGCATTTAAGTCGATGAATGCTATAACTGCTTTATTAAATTACGCCTTCATCATGAACTCGTGTTCCCCTTTTATACTATTCATTTTATTAATTCCTCTCAGCCTTAACTTTCACTTTGACAGTAGTACTGCCACTCTTGCTTGCCTTTTGCGATTTCAGTATCTTTCTTATCCTTTAAAAATAGTTTTAAAATGTGCCTCGTATGATAGCATATCTGATTTTAAAAATTCAATGACAGTTTCTTTTAATAGGACAGCTCAGTCTCCTCACATTTGGCATCATGCTTTCTCAGAATGGGACTTCTTCCAGCGAGCTACCAGAGGGACCTGCTGCCGCCTGTGGTCGCGCTCTGAATAACAGACAGGTGGTACACGCCACATCATTACTGCCTCACCCACAGAGAGAGGGGCAGCAGGTCTCTGTTGCTCTATTCGCTCCATGGGTAGGTTTTAATCTACTATGGGTCAGGCACTGCGGCAGGTTTGGCTATCAGCACATTTTAATGACCTCTGGGACATACTGTGCTTTAGGTCACTGGGCCCTAGTGACAGATCCTTCTGGAAGAAACCCAGGAAAGTCGTTTCCTCCCATGACGAACTAATTTCCCTTCTTCCACCAGACAGTGGGGACTGCGTCATTGGCCATAACGGCCTCTACGCCTCAGCCACCAGGAAGCTTAGAGGTAAGATTTGACAGCTTTTCTCATGTAATACATGTATTTTTTTGAGATGAAGTCTCACTCTGTTGCCAGGCTGGAGTTCAGTGGCATGATCTCAGCTCACTGCAACCTCCACCTCCCAGGTTCAAGCAATTCTCCTGCCTCAGCCTCCCAAGTAGCTGGGATTATAGGTGCCTGTTACCACACCTGGCTAATTTTAATATTTTTAGTAGAGACGGGGAGGCAGGCTGGTCTGGAACTCCTGACCTCAAGTGATCTGCCCTCCTCGGCCTCCCAAAGTGCTGGGGTCACAGGCGTGAGCCACCGCACCCCGCCTCTCATGTCATAGACTTTTGTGTGTTTTGAGGCGATTTTCTCCTGTTGTTCCCTCCTCTCCTTAGTGATTGGCGTTCATGAGATTTTGGTCTCACTGCATCTGTGCTTGAGGCCACCCAGAATCCTTTCTGGAAGTAAAAGCAAACCAAGACACTACCTAGGAAATGGCTTAGGAGCACTGTAGGGCACAGACATGCACTCACAGGGAGTCTCCAGGGGAAGGGCATGAGTCCAGGTGCCGAGCAGGCCACCTGCAAAACGCTGGTCAGGTGAAAGATCAAGTATCTGGCCTTCTGAGAAACAGGCATAAAACCACATAAAGGTCTTAGAAAGAGTGAAAAAATAGGAAAGAACATTAGCAGGGAAGAGAGAATCCCAAAGCAAAGTCGTTAATAATATCCACCAATCTCCCCCATAAGTAACGTGAAAAGTTAAGGATCACCACAGGATGATGAATCCTGCGTATCAGCTCTCCGAGCGTACGCAGAGAGCACACAGGCCCACGCTCTCCCTTCCATCCCTTAGTCTGCAGGAGAAACACATTCACAGAAGGGTTAGTTCTTAATTCTATAAAGCTGGACGTTCTGCTCTCGATAGTTCTAGGAGAGGGAGTGAAGACCGTCCCTGCCAGAATGTTTGGATCGGCTGTTCTCAAACTCTTTCAGGCAGTGCGGCATTTGGAGACCATGACCTTCTCTGCAGATGCTGAGAGGCGTCAATTCGCATCATTTTAGCACGTGAGCCTAGAGAAGAATCTTCCCAGAGGACGCGCAGCCCAGGCGCCAATGACGCAAGACTACAAATGCAGGGCGCGCTGTTCTCTTGCTTTTCTTCCGTATATGGAGGAAAGTCTCCAGGACCTCACTCGGGTGGAGGAGCACCCGGCTTGGTCTGGACTGTGCACACTGCACTCGCCAGTCCCAGGGTCAGAGAACAGCTGTTCCAAGCAAGAAGAGAGAACATCTAGACAGTTTTCCCACACCCACAGGACCCCTCACACAGAGCTCAGGGATTTGCCCATCTTGGTGGGGTAGGAGTCCTGTGAATGCTGATCCAGCTCTCTTATCTCCCCTGCTTTCCATGTGGAAGATGAACAGTGAATTCCTTTGGAGAAAATTCAAAGCATGCCACATGCATGGTCCCCAGTGTGGCCCATTCCAGAACGGGAAGAGTGGGTGGTGGGGTGGGGGTGGGGTTCGTTAGAATCAAACCATGCAGAGGTGCCTGGGCTGGGGGAGATCCAGGGAGGCTGGGTCTTGGACAAAAACACAGCAGTGGGTCTGACAGAGCCTGAAGGACAGCAGAGGACACATGCCGGCCCCAGAGGACACCCACAGCTTCTGGAGATGGTGTCCTGTGGCCTCGACCCCGGGGAGTGAACCTGGCTGCAGGATGCCATCCTGGGGTCACACGCAGCTCAGGCTGCTCTCATGCAACAAAGATGGGGGTCAGCTTTTTAGTGGCCTCTGTTGAGAGGTGAATTGACTTTGTGTATGGAAGAATTTCCAGACTAGGATGAGGCTGCCTTGGTCAATGGGGAGACCCCTGGGCTGGGCTGTGTGTGTGTGTGTGTGAAGGGGTCTGGAACCAGCAAGCCTGCCCCACCCTAGGGATCCTCACTGGGGACCTTGTGACGCTGTGGGCAGAGGAACAAACATGAGCAACCCTTTCTAAGGCATTAACTGCCCTGGGGCACCGGGACTGTCCCCTCTGCAAGGCAGCCAGCCCCCAGATTGTCTGGAATCATATTCAGATGCCCCAAGAGTCAGAAAACTCAGGGCAGGAGATGGTACCAGCCTTCAGCTCAGGGCAGGAGAAGGCACCAGCCTTCAGCTCAGGGCAGGAGATGGCACCAGCCTTCAGCTCAGGGCAGGAGATGGCACCAGCCTTCAGCTCAGGGCAGGAGATGGCACCAGCCTTCAGCTCAGGGCAGGAGATGGCACCAGCCTTCAGCTCAGGGCAGGAGATGGCACCAGCCTTCAGCTCAGGGCAGGAGATGGCACCAGCCTTCAGCTGGGGGCAGCCAGACTGCCTGACTGTGAGTTTATCCAATCTCCGTGCAGTCTCAAGTAACAGCTAAGGATTACTTGGGGTAATCACGGTAATGTTATAGCAGTGGAGGCCAGGGCATCCCAGACAAGGAGGTGGGCACTTGGCTCACAGTGGCTCACCAAATGCAACAGCCCTTGAATGTTGTCAGGCTCTGTGTCACAGGAGGAGGAAGAGGTTGAGGAGGGGCTTCTTGGAGCTGGGCCTGATCACTCTGGGTGGCCCTCATCTCCCCTGCTTCCATGCACTGAGGTTTCCCTGGGGCCAGGGCAGGGAGGTGGGGTGGGGAGGGTCTGGTCCAGTCCTGGTAGGGAAAAAGCGGTGGTGGCAGCAGCAGCCCCTGGGCGGGGCATCAGGCAGAGGCAGGTGGGCGGAGGGTCCCCGGGGCCTCTCCTCCTGCTGTGTGGTCAAGAAGCTGTGGGACGCGTGCTCAGCCTCACAGTGATCGTTAGTACCCTGTGGCCAGGGAGGGGTCAATACCTACCCGGTGGTCCAAGCCATTCTTTCCATGTCCTGGGAGAGGGTCAGATTTGGAATAGGGAAATCCTGAAACAGACACAGCACAGCTTTGTCACGCGAGCACTCAGTGCAGCAAGGGGGGAGCAGCCCTGGTGGGCTTCCCACCGGGGTGGGTAAGGCTGAGCAAGTGACACAGGGAAGACCCCCTGAGGACTATGCCATGCCTCAGTGGTGACCTTCTGTCCCCAGGCACTGACCAAGGAGGAGCTATGGAGGGGTCATGTCCCAAGCTTGCCCATGACACCAGAAACATCACAGACCCCCAGCCCAGCTGGTTCCTGTGTTCAGGGACAGGCTCAGGCCTGGGCATCACCTGGCACTTGGGCCAAGGCCCTCACTTTACAGATAGGACTTGGGCAGAGTCAGGAAAGGGCGCAGTCTCTGGAACCCTGGAGGAGCAGCAGGGCTGTGCCAGCCTATGCCAGAGGCGGTAAATGGAGGCCCACCACAAGCACACGGGGGCTGGAGGGAATTTTACTTCAGTAAACTTCTTGGCTGGGCATGTTGGTTCATGCCTGAAACCTAGAGCTTTGGGAGGCCAAGGTGGGAAAATCACCTGAGGCCAGGAGTTCAAGACCAGCCTGGGCAACACAGCAAGACCACTCCACAAAAAGCAATTAGCTGGGTGGGGTGAGGCATGCTATTTGGGAGGCTGAGGTGGGAGGATCCCTTGAGCCCAGGAGTTCAAGGTTGCAGTGAGCTATGCTCACACCACTGCACTCCAGCCTGGGAGACAGTGAGAGCCTGCCTCTAAAATGAATGAATAAATAAAATCCTGGGTTGCTTGCAAGTGGGGGATTTCATATTAAAATTCAAATTTCTAGCTTCTCATGAAATAATAAAGGGCTGGTCTGAGACAATGAACTCTCGATTCCCTGTGGGGCAGGCTTGCTGGGGCTGCCAGGAGGGGCCAGCCTTTCCCAGCCCCTACCCAGCTCCCTCCATCACTCATGTCCCTGGCTGGCCCTGGGTGGGCCTGGGAGTTCGCTGGGAGTTTGAGACCTCCCAGTTAACCTCTTCCATGCCATGTGATGGGAGAGGTGGGAGGAAGTGAGTGCCTGCCTGTCTCAGAGGTGGTGTAGTTACATTCTGGAAAAGATGGGCCAGAGCCCGGACCCTGGAGGGCAGGGCCCTCCACACTCAGGGAAGCATCCTTGAAAGGTCTGTCCCGAGTCCCTAAACTGTCTGTCCTTCCACTAGGCTGTGGGGCCACACCTGCCTCATCTGGGGGTGTCTGCCCCAGTACTGGGTCCCAGTGGCGCAGGCCAGCCAGGTACAGGGCCAGATGCCCACACTCACTCCTGGGAGCTGGCAGGCTGTCCATGAGGCCTCCGAGGGGAAGGTGGGTCACATCCTTCAGTGCTCACGAGGCCGCGTGTCTATAGGAAGGACCGTGCCTCCAGGGGCAAGGTAGGTTCTGTGCACAGAACTGCCCGTCTGCCCACTACAGGGACCTTGCTTCTCAGCAAAGAATGCTTCTCCGGGGGCCTTTCATTTGGGGATTCCTCACAGACTCAATGAGGACAGAGAAGAAATTCCATGAAGGTCACATGGGGACACAGAGAGACCTGTGGGAGGAGCCTCAGCTGGGGACTTGTTTGCCATGGGGTAGCCAGTGGAACGGTTCTATATGTGGGTCAGGAAGGCCTTTTAAACATCAAGACCAAAGTCCTCAAACCTCTCTTAGCAGAGGGACTCCCTTGACACGAGAGCTCTTACGTGAACCCCTACATGCAAAATAGACAAATGAGGAGCTGGGAAGACAGGTGGGGAGAGGGGGCAGACCCTTGGGGCTATTCCTCTCCCTCCCAGCCCCTCCAATGCACCCCCTGGTGAATGGCCTAGCCAGCTCTTCTCATGTCACAGAAGGGGAGTAGGGCCCAGAGACATGCAGGAACCTGCCTGAGGTCACCCATCCGGGTAGTGGCAGCCGGATGAGGCCTCCTGCCTTGCAATCCTGGGTTCCTCTAGGAGACAGCTGCTGCCTCCTTTATGCCCAGAGTCAGGCATGCTCTGAGGTCCCGAGGGCGCTTCCAGCTGCAGCAGGAGTGCCTTTTCAGCAACGGTGCTAGAGCGGTGGTTCTCAAATTGGCATCCCCAGCTAGCAGTCCCAACCCTGCCAGGGAACTTGTCAGAAATGCAAATTATTGGGCATCACCCCAAACCTCCATGTTAGAATTCTGGGGCTGGGTTCCAGGGATCTGTGTTTTTACAAGGCTTCCAGGCCATCCTGATGTACACTGCCCTCTGGCCTTGAGAACAGAGAACACTCTCGGGGGGGGGGTGTCCTGTACCCCTCTTAAGCCCGAGGGCCTTCACCCGCCTGTCCCTGGAGTCACCTGGACAGTGTGTGAGCTTCCCAGTGCCCAGGGTGCCGCCGACAGGTCTCTACTTTTTTTTTGAGATGCAATCTTCCTCTGTCGCCAGGTGGGAGTGCAGTGGCATGAACTCGGCTCACTGCAACCTCCGACTCCTGGTTCAAGCGATTCTCCTGCCTCAGGCTCCCAAGTAGCCGGGACTATAGGCAGGCACCACCACACCAGCTAATTTTTATATTTTTAGTAGAGATGGAGTTATACCATGTTGGCCAGGATGGTCTTGAACTCCTGACCTCGTGATCTGCCCGGCTAGGCCTCCCAAAACGCTGAGATCACAGGAGTGAGCCGCCGTGCCCAGCCTTGACTTTTAACCACTTCACATGCAGGCTGGAAACCTTGCTTCCATGAAGGCCATCTTATCCTCCCCACCTGGAAACTACAGTTGTCTCAGGTATGTCTTGTATCTCCTTTGAGCACCCATTCAAGATGGTGCTAGAAATTTTGCTTCAACCATCAAATGTGATTCTTTCCAGGAAGAGGCCTGTCTGTTACACTTCATCCCCGGTTTTACCTATTCCAGTGATCTTCCCTTTCTGAAGTTCCAGGCCTTCTCTTATCATTTCCTTTCTGTTGGGATAGATTCCTTAAGGGTAGGTCTGCAGGATATTTCACTGAACCTAGGATTCACACGGACAGTTCTGTTCTGCACATGGAAGATGTCGGGGTGCGTCCTGCTGGACTCCGTGGAGTGTGATGGGAAGTCTGCCATCACTCGAATTGGTGTTTCTCCTCTGTCTTTTTCTCTCTGGTTACTTTCAACATTTTTTCTTCCTGCTTAATTTTCAGAAATTTAATTATGATGTTTCTTGGTGAAGATTTTGGGGTTTATCTCTTTGGGGATCCCTTGGTTTCTGGAACTTGTAGGTTTATGTCTTTCTTTTGCCAAAATTGTTGGGTTTTCAGCCATTATTTCTTTGAATACTTTTTCAAACCCGTTTTCCTTCTCCTCTCTTTCTAGGAATCAAATGAAACATATGTTGTCCCACAGGTCCCTGAGGCTCTGCTCATTTTCCCCCCCATGTCTCTTTTTTGTTCATATTGGATAATTTCTGTTCTATCTTCAAGTTCATGGATTCTCTCCTCTGCCAAACCTGGATTTTCTGTGATCGAATCCACAGTGAATTTTTAATTTTGGTTATTTTTTCAGTTCTATAATTTCCATTTGTTACAGCTTATATTTCTTTGGTGAGGCTTTCTTTTCAGTTTCAAAAGTATTTGTAATCGTGCGTTCTAGGCTCCAGCCGGAGTCACCTGTAATCGCGTGTTCTAGACTCTAGACTGCAGCCGGGGTCACCTGCTGCTGTTGGGTGGGAGATGTGGGGTGGTTGTGTTTTTCCTCGAGTCCTCAGGCTCCGTCACCAGCCAGTTTCTAAGTGTTTGTTATTGTTTGTCGAAGCATTTTGTAATGACGAACGCCTTAAAATCCTGGTCAGACAATTCCGTCAGTTCTTCCCAGGGTTAGTATCTGCCGGCTTCACTCACCTCATTTCTCTCCAGGGTTCTTGGTGTGATGGGCGATTTGCAGTATCTGGGAGTTTTGGATATTATGTTTGGAGACTGATCTTGTGAGGTGTTAAATCCTCTGAGCGCACTGTTGTCCTGTTTACGTTTAGTGTGTATGGCCTGGTCTTTGGAGGCTACGGTTCCCAAGTTTCGGGTCCCGTCTCTGAGCCTTGGTGTCTTCATCTGAGGAAGGGGGCACCCATCATTCATAAGCAGTGGTGAATGTGAGGCCCCTCGGCTGGTCTGAGCTGCAGACTTCAGAAACAAGTGAGACAGGCCCAAGATGGCCACGGAGGCCTTGCCGTGGCCCGGCTTGTGGAATTGAGGTGCTGAGCCTCAACAGCCCTCATGGTCAGGCCGCAGGACCCCGTGTGCCCACGTGCAAGCTCCTCAACCCCCATGTGCTCCCTACAGGACTGGATCGTATCTGTTCTTACAGATCAGGGAACTTCAAACTCAGAGACGTTTCTCTTGTGCCCAAGGTCACACAGCAAGGTTACAGGCTGGGATTGAATCATGGGTGGACCAGCGCCCTCATGCAGAGCCCAAGGTCACACAGCAAGGTTATAGGCTGGGATTGAATCATGGGTGTACCAGTGCCCTCAGGCAGCATCTCTGGAGACCCCTCACATGCTCTCCTAGACACTTCAGCTTTGTATTCAGGGTGGCCACCTTCATGTCCCCCACCCCACAGAACAAATGCTGGGTGCCTAGCGGGAAGGCTGCTGGTCAGGAAGCTGTCCCTGGAGCCTTTGGTAGACGCGGCCAACCACAAGCACGGATGGCAAGGCCACTGCCTGGGAATGGGAGGCACGGGAATCTCACACTGTTCCGAGGCACTAAGAGTCCACGGGGAGAAAAGCACACAGGTGACAGGTCAGTGTTCCAGGCCTGGACTGGGGAGGGCAGGCGGAGCTTCCAGTGTGGGGTAGGGCTCTCCAGAGCCCAGGCAGCATCGGAGGCGGACAGGGGAGGCCCTGGGGCTGTGGCCATGAGACAACATGAGCTCCCAGAGGGACACAGTGGGGCCCTGGGGCCTGTGCTGCTACCCGCAGGACTGGGAGGCCATACCCTACCCAGTCCCCGGGCATGGGCGAGCCTGCTGGGCACAGGGAGGCATGGAGATTCCAGCTGAAAGCTAGCCTC